AGAAAATAGATACTTACCTACCTTTTAAGTAAAAAAATGATCTGCCAAGTTGGACACCGTGAGCGCAAGCCACGTTCGACTTCAGCGTTCTAGAACGACGTTCTTTCGAAATGTCCCCCCTGTGACGTAAGCAGTTTATGCGATCCGTGAGAGTCGAATGGGTCTATTAACAACAAAAACACCAGAATATCCATGTTGACATTCCTGCACATTCTTTTGTGGTCCAGTCTCAAGTGCAGAGATAAGGCCACACCAATTTAATTTCTTGGTTAACGGATTCGCCTCTTCATTTTTTCTGATTTGCAAATAAAAATAAAATTCAGAATCAACTGCAAAATGCTCATATTTTGCCCTGAACAGTTGAAAACAGTCCTTTTCTTATTACTTGTTACAGTCATTCCATCTTTCAATGCAGTGCTACCATTAAAAGTTCAAAATTCATTGTTTAAATTTTGAACCAGCCTGGTGTGTTGACTTAGTGGCTCCTATTGTACCATTTTGGGCCATTTTGGATGCCTAGGCCTGTTTTTATTTTTATTTTTTTTTCGCCCGCCCGCTCCATTATTTTTCTAGAAAAATCCGTTAACCAAGAAATTAAATTGGTGTGGCCTAAGAGATTATTCTAGATTTACTGTTTTGTTACAGTTTATATACTAGTCGATAAGTACATGTAGATGGACAATTATTAAAGGGTTGCTGAATGCTGGTTGCATTCCTGAGCAGTGTTGTTATGTACTCCTACTGGGAAACAAGTGTGCAATTTTGTACAAGTATTGTAAATAGAACAGAGTATTTTTGCGCCTTTACTGTCTATAGGAACCCTTGAGTAATTGGCCATGGTACAGAATACATTAGAGCATAGTTTCACTTTATCTATATACCTGTATAAGTATTATCTTAGAAATCTCAGAACTTAGTGGTTGCTTTCTGCAGATATGAAATTATGGAACTCATCTCTATGATCATAAATTGAATAGACTAACAGCTGTGTACGTGTAACATTATCAGTTATCTCCCATTGTTGTATAATGTGCACATCAGTAACATTTAGTTATCACCTAGGTTCGAACAGTAATAGTGTAATTAATTAGAAGTTCCATGTCTAATTGGCGTCACCAGAAATTGAATCGTGAGTAGGAGACGGCCATTTTTTCTGCAGAATGAAAAATGGTTATTTGCAATAAAATTTACAGAGAACTTTTTGACTGAAAGACTAAATCTATTGCTTGTTCATAGTGTAACATGGAACGTCATTCCAACAAGAAAACGTCTATAAACACATACTCATATAGTATATATTGTTGTATAGGGAGTAAAATAAGACATAGCTGTGAAGTACTTATTTTCTAGTTGTACGTTTTGAAATAAAGATTATGTTGGAAGATAACAATAAAACAGGCAGATGGATCAATAAAGAGACACTTGCGATTTATTGGTTGTTATCGTTTAGGCCACACCAAGTAAATTTTATGGATGACGTCCGCGCGCGCATTGATTTTGGCCTGTTCCTAGAAAAAAAAAACAAGAAATTCCACTTCCTGTAACTATGACCAAAGAGCTTCCTGTAACTATAACTATGACCTCTCGCATTAGATTTAGGACGTCCAAAGGACGTCATCCATAAAATTTACTTGGTGTGGCCTTACCCGAGTTCAAACAAAATGATAACAAATAATAACTGTCGTTTCTGCAATACATTTCAGTGCAGTTGTTTGCCATCCAGTTGCCATCTAGGTAAATTTTTGGTATTTTAGAAACAGCAAGACCAAAAACCTTGACTTGAGACTGGTCAGCTCAAACTATACTACAACGTAATCGACAAGTCAAAAGGACTTCCAGCGTCTTTTGGCGGGAACTTTCGGCAGTTGGTCACGTGGTTGATTTTTCTTCAAAACGTCCTCGACCAGCCTCTTTCCACGCATGCGCTGTGTCGTTGCTGCCATCACCTTGTTCGAAGAGAGAAGACATTGTTTAAAAGGGCAGACTGAGTCGGACTGATGTAATCTGTACTTTGTAATACAGGAGTGTGGTTCAACAATGATAAAATCAACACTATTTACATGTATGTACAGGTAGACATATAACTCGTGTGATAAATGTTTAAATGGATTTTCTGTATATCCGGTATAACCACCTGTCGGCGTAACACACCAGCTTCGCAGGCACGCGGCGCGGCGGCAGCTGGCTATATTACACCTTATTACATATTACGACTTGTTACACCTAACCCTTGAACCATGAGTATTTTGATGATTCTAGCTGAAGCATATGATGATAATTTCCGTGTGTGTTTACCTTGGCAAAACCAGTGCGTGTGTCCACCAGTCGTGCCGGGCCGGACAGAAAGCGTCGTCGGCGTTCTCTCGTCTCTCCCTCCTCAAGGCGGGCCGTCTCTGCCGTATCCTCACACCCCTCAGAACCTAGAATGGACGACTCCGTCTCCATGCCCTCAACAGCAGGACAGCGCAGACGGCTGTCGCTAACGCACATTGACGGTTTCGAGTCGTGGTCAAAATGGAATCGGTCAAAACCTGCATTCTCCACCAGACGATTAATATTTCCACTGGCACTGTCGTGGGCAGTTTCCGTCTCTGAGGAGGGCTCACTTCCTAACTCCATTGGCTCATCTTGGGTCTGATTTGATGGCCTGCTGACTGAACTAGTCGAAGTTTCGCACATTGCTTGCTCCGCAAAATGACTGTAAGGTTGGTATGCGCACCTCCCACTGCTTGATGCTGTATGGCTGTTTGATTGTTGTCCGTCCTTCGGTAGAGATGAGGTGGCGCTCTTGGATGGGTTGTTCGTTTCGTTCTCGGTCGCACCAGTCGCAGCAGCTTTCTTCAAACGCTGCAAGAGCCACTGGTAAGGCACGAAGTCTTTCAGCCTCTCCGTACCGCTGCGTTCCCTCGGTGCGTTTCCGCGATGCAGTAGAGTCTGGGCTACCAGTAGTCCTCCGGACAGCCACCCGAGACCGCCTGCTTGCGTACCCGAGGGTCCTTCCGAGGGATCTCTGCTATTCAGGTGATGCGTGGATGCTGTAAGTACGGTCCAGCTGTGTTGCTTAGCTGGACGCCGTGGTAGGGAGCGACTGGAGTGGTGAACCTTCTTGGTGTACGGGCCCGATCTCTGACGCAGTGTCTCCCCGGGTCTCGCCGAGTCCAAATGTGTCGCTGTTGGACCTTGTTTCTGAGCAGTCTCCAGGGCGATGCCCATGCCTGCCTCCGCGTTTGGAAGCGCTGGTGGAATGGCAGGCGGCGATCGGTAGGGGGCGCTTTGCTGTAGTCTCGCAGTTCCGGTCGGCTGCGTCAGTTGGCTGAGGGAACATGAACAGAAGCGCTTGTACGTGACTTTTATACAGATACCTTCAGTTTCAAGAAACACTGGGTGAATACAGATGTTTATTGCAAATTGACTACTTACTTAAATTGACACAAAACTAAAACAATAGTGCAGCATAATAAAAAAAATGTAAAAAAGGCTGAATTACGCAGTTTTAGGGACCACACAATTGTACAAAATATCATTAATATTCACGAACATAACCAAACTGAACAAGACGTCGTAAGATACTACTATTGTCTCGACACATACATTTAAAAATGTCTGTCCCATAGCTTAGAGCAATATTTTTCCAATCATTTAAACCGTCTGGAGTGGATACAAGACGACACTTACTTCTCATTCGGTACGCGTCCATCCACAGTGTTATTCTCCATCTTGAGTCCAGGTACCTCCGTGATTTAAAAAAAAATGGGTTGTTTGTCCAATGAAAACTGTAACACATAACACAGAGAGTGTATGCTGCTTTAGGCTGCATGCACCCCTGCGTACAGTTGGCAGTGCCAGCGAAAAGAATGTGACGAGACGAGGGCACTTCGCCCTGCTTCTGTCTGTAACCGCCAGGGCGGTGTGCTCCGAGCGCGCCGTGACGTCATGTTTGGAAAGGCACTCGCCATGCTCGACTCATTGCGTCACTACTCTCCAAGCAGAGGTTTTGGCATGGCGCCTATTTTTAGGTGTTTTTAACGGGCTTCCTTTTATGTACTTTTTTTGTACGCCAGCCAAATGGTAACTGTCTGGCAAATGAATATTGCTTGTCCAAGTTGATACTGTCTTTGCAGCCACCGAAATTTCTGTTTTGAAGTCATACTGCAAGACTCGCTTTGCAGGGCCGGGGGCAATATGCAAGCACTTATCGAAATGTCATGTCTATACCCCAATGTCGTTAGGAACTGAGAGGCTTTTGAGCTATCATTAGCGATTTGGATTTAATCGTTGTGTACGCCAGGACGCAACGCAACCGGGTACGGTGCACAACCCCCCCCCCTCTGTGTGCGTGTGTATGTGCGCGTGCGTGTTTGTGTGTGTGTGTGTGTGTGTGTGTGTGTGCGCGCGCGCGCGTGTGCGATATACTGACAGTGCCTGATTATAACCAACAAATGTACACAAGTATCAACGGTTATTTTTTTGCTTTGCTTTGTACCGTAAATGTACATGTATTCAATATTTTACTTCATTCAGCAAGAAGGTCGTCGACCTATATTATTACATCACAGGGATATGATAGCCACTGGGGAACGAATGTAAAAAAAAACAACATTTTTTTCAAGATACGCTTTCAAGATTTCAAAACAGTATGTAGAGAAAAAGATAGAACATTGGAAAATGTACATCATTTGTAGTGTTTTCCTTTGCTATTTTAACTTTTTATATAATATTATCTCTTTTTTTCTTAAATAAAGCATCAATCTATATGTGTACGTTGCGATGCGGTTTCAAATTCACCATTTCTTAGTGACGTCATAAAAACTTAAAAACATTCCTCGAGAAACGAAGCCAGAGACAAGACGTCTTCAGCCGTTCTCGACGATTTCGACGCAAAATATTGCTGATATTCCGATTTTCGTTCATATTTTACCGGTAGAATTTGTCGCAGAGTCCTAAAGGACAAGGCAGTGGAAGGTGAGTATAATGTACTGGTTGGTTTTCAAGAATACTAGTACTTGCAATCGTTTAGATAGTCCTGAGTATAATAAGATCGATGTGGATTTAATTTCATTACTGTTAGACATTTTACCATCGACTTACATACGTTGAAGTATATTTATCCAAGCTGTTGTACCTAAATCAGGGAAAATTAAATTCGCATCGGACCAAAGAACTTGACGGATTTTTAATTGAGATTGTTATCAAACTAGCTATTTCTCATGCGCCCCTCCCCACGGCCAGAGACCTGTTCTAGAACCCCAAATCTAAAAACCCCGGCGTCAGTGACGTCATACAACAGCACAACAGAAGTTGTAAACACATCGTGAATTCAATGCGTAACTTGTAAAAATAGTTCAAAAGCAATGGACGTCAAATCAGTTTCTTCTCTCTGCTCGAGCAAGTAGTTACCATTTTTCTTTCCTTCTTCGAAGGACGACGTGACATCGCCTCGTCCAAGGCAGCTTCGTTAGATTTCGGCAGACTTCGGCAACCCTCGTCAACTCCCGCCGATCGACGACAGCCAAGTTCGCCCGTCCGAAGCAAACCAAAGACTCCTTATATAGTTTATGAATAGACTTTTATGTTGTAAAAAGTTTCAAAAATGAACGAAAAAATGAATAGAGTAGATGATAAGTTAGATACTAGCGGTAGTGCTAGTAATGCTAGTAATAGTGTTGGGCTAAGTGTTACGCGCCCCTCCCCTGCGCAGTCTAACACGGATGTATCGAAATATGCAGAGGAACTGAGCAAAGACCCTACAGTCCTCCGCAGCGCGAACAGCATCAGCAGGCTGTTCAGGGGTGGCTCCAAAAACAACGTCACCACCATTTTTGCCCAAAACCTGATCGAATCCGCCACTGAAGACCTGCAGATTGAGATCGAATCTTGCTCGTCCATGTCCAGCGGCAGCTGTGAGTCTGGTATGGACATGATGGACTCTGTTTTTAACATAACCGGACTCATCCACGCCGAGAAAAACCGAATCAAGGGCGAACGGTCCAGGGAGGACGTCGGTCTCCTCTCGCAGATCGCGAAGTTCAAGCCGGAGTTTCGCGCAACGACCGAGACTCACCAGAGGGAGAGTACTCACGAGCTCACGCAGAGACGCGACTCTCAGGGATATGACACGATGGCTTACCTCCACAGAGGGTACTCCCTGACTAGGCTCTCAGATCTGAGACAGGGAAAGATCCGAACCGTGACAGGGAAGACGCTGCGGATCAAGTGCTCCAAGACGAATGAAATCCTCCGCCAGAAGATGATCTATAATGCCAGACAGGAGTTGGCCCCTCCGAAAAAGAAGAAGTTCAAAACCATCGCTAAGGCGGTCGCCTGGACCGTCAGGAACAGGTTGGCGTTCATGAAGGGTGACCAAAAAACCAAGGAGCAGGAGGAAGAGGAGAAGCTACAGAAGTTGGCAAAGATCTACGTCTCAAACATCATCAAAACGGCCGCCAAGAAGGTTGAGTTGGAGGAGAGGAAGGAGGCCATAAGGCAGGAAAGGCGCCGCCGTGCCAACCGCAGAAAGTTCACTAAGACTCCGAACTACTTCGGGGAGCTGGAGGACTTTCCTGACCCGACCCCGTGGGTGCAAAAGTACGACAAGAACCACAACAAGAACAACAAAGCGCTGACGTACCTGGTCCGAGAGATCCAGAGGGACATCAAGGAGAACGAGTTGGGCCCTCCACGACCCGACCTGGAGGTGCCGTGCAGCAACCTCTCCCTGAGGCACTCCAAACACTCCGATCTCAACCTGGCGCGTCATGGCGACGACACTGAGGAGGAGCCAACCATCTTCAGCGGGCGACAGAACTCCGCCATCCACTTCGGAGGCATCACAAGGATTGACTCCGACACTCCTCATGTCAGGGAAGAGGATAAGCTCGGCATCGCTGCTGGAGGGGCCCCTGCAAGTAAATGATTTGTCGACTTAAAAAGACGTGGCGTGGCAAAAAATTACATTCATGAGCGCACGTTTTATGTTTTGAAAGAAAGGAGTTGTGGCAAACATGCTTTACACATGCTTTACACATGCTTTACACATGCTTAACATATACTTCATACATTCTACATTGACACAGGAAAAATCTAAGGTAGAAAGATTAATGCTTCAAGTATGCATCGCTTTCATTTGTCTTCTACCTGAGCTGAAGCTGATATAAGATATGTTAGCCCCCCAAAATTCTCAAATCATACAAAAACTAACTGCGCAGCGAAGGGACGCGATTAAAGCCGTATCTATAGAAGTTAGGCGGCTAGATACTGCCATTGTATATATGGATGCCTGACAACTGAATGTAAAGTTGTTTTACCAATTGTATACGTAGTTTATGATGTGAAGTACTCGATCCACGTTTAAGTACACAGAAACATTCCCATGAGAAGTCAGCTACATGCGACTGTGCTTACCTACCTTTCCTTTTAAGGACCTTTTGTTAATCAATAAGTTGTTTATTGTAACTAATTAGCCATGGCAAACAACACATGTATACCTGAAGATTAGATACAGTAATTCGACCGCTTACGGGGGCATTATTAAAAGCTCAATACACAATCGAGTGGAATGAGTATTTACTTTGACAGGGAAACCGTCCTTAGAAAAATAACGATGGCTAATTATCGATGAACCAATGAGAACACGTGTGTTATAAATAGCGTTATCACTGGCGAATGAGGACCAATGAGAACACGTGTTTTATAAATAGCGTTATCACTGTAGCGATGATGACCAATGAGAACACGTGTTTTATAAATAGCGTTATCACTGTCGCGATGATGATGATAATGATAAGGGTTGTACTTTAAACGTCTCTGGAGACAGAAAATGTTTTGAAGGTGAAGGAACTGGAACGCGTAATAGTTAGGAAAATGCTGCAATTATTAAAAAAAAGATGTCCTACTAACATCCAAAAGACTTCAAGAATGAAGACTTTATTTGTAGTTTTGAATGGGCGAAGTGCATGTCGTCTTGACCTAGATTTAGTTAGCAAGGCACAGAAAATAACATAACTGTAACACACCTGTTCTTGATTCAATAATTCGGATATTCTCGCCTCTTTTTACTTGTAAACAAGTAAAAAGATCAGTTTTGTTAATGCATTTGTTATCTTATGTACATAACCGTGAATGGGCAATTACAGAGGTCCTATATTGAGCGTTAACATTTGTTCAACCACTGTGCTCGTGTTATTTTACGTACCCAAATGAATACAAAAACCACTTTGCTGCAGCTAAGTTGGTTTTGTCACATAACGCTAAGATGCCTCTCAATATGTCCCACCCTTAAATCTAGCGACACGTGCATTCCTGAGATGTGTCACCACACGTTTCATTGTATACAGGGAACCCGCGACACAACGCAACGGAAATACCGTCAAACGACCAACAAAAAGACAGTTAACGAATTCAAATATTGTTTCAACGAGTTGTCTGTCCAAAGCAATCGGTGTTTCTTTGACACGATTCACTAGGACACAAAAGGGACTTGTACAGTTCTTTCTTCGGTTCGAGTAAAGGCTCACGCCCCGGTGACACGCAAACGCTGTGCCTCCTTCAGAAAATAGGGAACTTTCAGGGATGGTGAAAACGTGTGCATGTTGCTCCTAATAGTCATATATTTGTTTGGTCTTTATTGGAACAAACTGAGTACTTGAAGAATGATATTTACAGTCACATGGTCATTAAAATTAACCATTTTAAAGTGTACAAGTAATATAAGAAGTTTTATATTTTGATGTGTCGACGGATGGATCTGTGTTTATCCTAAATATCTCAACTGTTTTGCCTAGAACAATCTCACATGTATTTATCAACAAATTCTGTACCTCTCAATACATATATCTCCAAATAACGCAAGTGAAGCATATTACACTTCAAAAGACGAGATATTTACAAAGTGCAACATGTAATCAATTTTTAGCCGTTGAACCACTTAAAAGTAGAAACAGACTATCAAGTGAATAAATTACTGTAAGTAAAATCAGTACATTCTGCGGTTAACCACTCGGCGGCTAACGAACTGACCACGATTATAGGACTGCGAGAAGTTTGCGACGGTGCTCTATGACAGCTTCAAGTATTTGTGCATACGTCACACCTGTCCAAGGTACGCATAGCCTGTCTATCTCTGTACCCGCTGCTTGTTTGCTCTACGCCGTTGACATGTCAACTGCGACAACTAGGAGAACAACATTTCAGAAGTAGGAACGGCCTGGTGAGGTTCTGTTGTGAGATCTAGTGGAAAAACGAAGGAACCACTTGTGATTTACATGTAAGTACGGATAATACTGAACATTTTCTTATTTTAAAACGGCGAAAAAGGATGCTTCGGGGCCTTTACCGCAAAATTAAGTATGGACATCCTATATAGTGAGCATCGTTGTTGCGGGCGGTCGCCAACACATGTAAAAGATACACATCGCTATATAGGTTGTAACTGTAATTTGATCGACAGCAAAGAAATTGTTAGATCTGATTTTGATTGGAGTAACATATCGGTGTTCACGTGAAAAAGTGTGAGAAGCAACAATTAATGTATTTGACTCCCCTGGTCAGACTAATATTTAAAGCAAAAATTCAGATCCTACACGATTTCGAAACATTGCTTACTGGGGTAAGGAAAACAAATCGTTCTACGTAGTTTTCATGATCTTTGGATTGAAGAGGTCGGAGAGAAAATGTTGCAATCAGGACTGTATTCAGTTCCACTGATCTGTCTTAAAAGGCCGGTACCCATGGGTCTTCACATAGCGTGATCTGTAATGGCTTCAGGACATAATCGATTAGGTGTCATCTTTCTCACTTCTTTATTTCGCCCTGGGGATGGGCTTGACTCGAGCTCTTTTATTCTACTCCCCATCTGACCATCGGCGAATAGAATAGACTGTCCTAGTTCTGCTGTATCAAATATAGCTGTGAACAAAGTGAGAACTACAGGTACTAAAGTACAATTCTTTGTTGTCGTGACGACAAAGTGGCCCAGATTCATACATATGGAGCTCCCTAGATCCTGAATGCTTTTTTCGTGTTCTCGGCCTACTCTGCGTCTCTCAGGGGGATAGAAACGCTAAACATTGTTTTGTTTTTCATTTGAAGATACATGTGTACCCGTCATTACCACATTTAGGAGTACTGATAAAAGGTTGTGTTTTTTTTAGAAACTACCTCCATGGAGACCATGATGTGAGTCGTCTTTGTTTATAAGCTGGAGGCCTGAAGTTATAACATCCATAACAGGAGATAGCTAAATATTATCGCGCTGTGATTGGTCATACTCGTTACCATGGCAACTGCAGTCAAGGCGAGACAAGACCCATGGAAAAAGGACGCCGGTCCAGCCCAGTGCATGTTCCTAACCGAGCGGTCTAAGATATCAAACTTTACCAACTCAACTCATCTGTACCTGACTGAAACCATCCCTGTGCCTTACAAGTCCTGGACCCTCGTTCCACAAGAGATAGGCCTCTTCCGTAAACTCACAAGCCTAACGTTGTCCAACAACGCGCTGTCAAAGAAGGCCATTGCCAACATCAGCCTTTGCGAGTCACTCAAAACTCTCATCCTGACGAGTTGCAAGATCACCCATCTTCCCGCACAGATCAGCAGACTGGTTAATCTGGAGACCCTGGACGTCAGTTATAATGAGTTAACGCGTATACAGAGCTTCGTCTGCACTCTTCCGGCTCTGAAAGCTTTAAGGGCGAGACATAACCGGATATTTGACGTCAAGAATATCAGGTCTTTGGTAAAGTCACGAATCGTCACGCTAGATCTGAAAGGAAACCTGCTTCAGTCGTTCAATAGTAGATTCTCTAGGTCAAAGACGTTGCGACACTTGGATCTATCGGACAACATCATCACACACGTGGTCTTCTTCAAGGATGATTTGCCGCTTCTGGAGAGACTGGACTGTGGAGGAAACAAAATCACAGCTTTCAACGTCATGGAGCAACGGAAACTGACGACGCGAAGCAACCTGCGGTGGCTTTCCCTGGCCAAAAACTGCCTCAAGGCCTTCCCGAACGCAGTTTTTAGGTTGGCCTCGCTCGAAACCCTAGACGTGTCACAGAACACCTTTGTTTCCATCCCCAGAGAAGTGGAGGCGATGAAACATCTCAAGTCGCTCATCGCGTCAGGTAACCACTTGAGAAGTTTGCCCCGTGAGCTGTTTTGCCTGCCGCACTTGAAGCTCGTCAACGTCGCTGGCAACAGACTCCATCATTGGCGCCATGAGTCATGGAATCCCGACGACTCCATCTTGTCTCAGGAGATGCACACCTTGACCTTGAGCGGAAACAAACTTGAAAACGTCCCGTCCGTAGTCTACGGACTTCCCTCTCTGGAACACCTGGACATGAGCAGAAACAGACTCAGAAAGTTCCCCGTGATCTTCAAAAATAAAAAGAAACCAGCGATTGTTTCTCTCGACTTGTCGCACAACAAGCTGAACCATTTCCCGTTCGAGGAGCTCGACAATCTCCGGAGACTTCGTCGCCTGAATCTTCACCACAACGAACTGACGGAGATTCCCGAGGACGTCACGAAGTTGTGGTGCGAGAGCGAGGTGACGTTGGCGAACAATCCGATCAAGTGGCCGCCGTTAGACATCTGCGTGCAGGGGCTCCCCGCTATTGAAGAGTTTTACAAACTGGTGGGATCTAAAAAGTCAACTTGAAACACAAGCCCTGTGTCGGATTGTACGTGTTTCCGGATAAAGCAAACTTAAGCATATCGGAATGACAGAGAGCAACACACGACATTTTTTGCTGTGAGTTTTGCATATCATGTGATAACTGACTATATTCTGCTCTTTTCTTTACACAAAGCACACGAATAAAAGTTGTTACGCTTGCCCATTAACATTTGTCATTTCTTGATGTGTAAATGCTAGACATTTTGTTTTAACGTAGTTAAAATATTTATTTGGGGACTCAAAATTAACTTTGTGGCATCTTATATAGCTTACGAGAAGTACAGGTCTGCGAGGCTCGAGGTGAAACGTTCCCATGGCTCTGAACATACATATTCATGTACATTTTCTTATATGTGTAGCGTATGTGAGTGTGTGCTATGTGTATGTGTGTGTGTGGGGGGGGGGGTAATTTACAAAATACTGTCACGTACTTTATTACAAGTGACAGTTTTAAGTTTGTTTGGACTTCCGGTACCTGAAAACACAAAATGCATACTTTAACTCTGACCTATGGTATTTAACCCTTGTAGCGCCGGGGCGTATCAAGACAATCCCATACAATGAACCCATGACACCGCAAGGGTTAAGGTTATGTATTCCTCTCGTTACTATGTACCTGTATGCACACGCCGTCTCTGTTACAGTATCGTGTGCTACTTGTACTTTGTCACCGTGTTGTTGGTGGGGCGTAAGACAAACACTGTGCCAAGAAACAGTGTTGGGCTCGCAGCCTGGGAAAGTTCGCAGTGAGTAAAAGAGAAGGCGTCAAATTCTGGAAGAAAAATATTTTGAAAAGAAAGCTACATTTTGTGGCAGAGAGGTTGAAAGGATACAATCTAGCAAGAAGTGAGTGTGTGTGTGGATAGATTGTGGTCAAAAATCGTACTGCCTCGGTCAGTTCGTAAGACCAACACTCTGACAGTCTTGTATTTAACTTAAGTCGTTTTGACTTCTCTGAGTGTCACCATTACCATGGTTCATGACATAAACAAAGAACATAAATGTCAAGGACACACAAGTTTGGTAGGAAGTCGTAATCCTTAGTACACAAACTGCCTGAAGATATAATAGAAAAACAAGCAAGTCTACTGCACTGTTCAAATCCCCACTTCCTTTCTCGTATTCTGCTTGAAAGGATGCTGCCATAAGGATTTAACTTCAAAGAACACATGCCTAATAGTATATTCATGATACCTTTGGTACGTACAACTCGCGTATGTTTCTTAATATTCACACAGGACACACTCCCACAAAGTGACAGACATCTAACGTACCAATAACCAACATTTATAAGTTGTAACAGTGCTAATACCTATACTCTACGCCTGGTTTAACGACTTTTAACGTAAATGTTCACACTATTAAATCCCGGTTAACTAAATGTGTGACCGTCAGATACGTCCATAAGATCGTTCGACACAAACCACCTGTTATTCCCACCCTCTGATCGACCCTTCTGAGCAACCCGATACGTGACGTCAGAGACGCCGTGTTGTTTTAGGACAGCGCCCGTGAATGCTGAACAAATGGAGGGTTTTACTCGAGTGTTTTTCTTGTTAGCTAAACCTTCGTGCCAACAGCACGCAAACGGTAAACAGCGGACGCCATACGACGGACCATGGACTCTCCGCTGAGGAAAAATCTCCCGATTGCAGTAAAAATAGCGCGACATTCAGCTCGACTTAGAATCCCTCCGCGTCGCCCAGGCAACGTAGTTCCCAGACGGCGGTGAATCGTTCAACAGGTGGGTGCAGTCGCTCCTTTTGTGACTAGCTACAAGTGAATTCATTGAGACTTAATTGAGCGTACTGATTTTGTACGGTATGCAACAAGTCATAGCTCTTTTACACAGAGGCGTCTGACTCAAAGTCTGCGTACTTGACCTAAGTCCATAAAAAAGTTGATTTCTCGCCGCCATTTAAAAGAACTGTTCCATGGCTGGATTTGTATGCAGCTTAAGATAGAGTTACGTGTCTTTAGTTTAGTATCTTTTGTACCAATATTGGGTTCCATAAAGGTAAAACATGGGCACATCTTAGTACTTCAGGAATAGCCAAAAAATAGGGCAAATTGTACTTTATTCACACACGATAAACGTTAGTTTACACAGTTCATCGATCGAGTTTCTAGCAGGTGTTGAGTGAAGTTGTACTTGGTCTCCTAACCACCATGTAAAGCGATCCGTTCCGGTTCGCTTCAGTGACTGTTGTTGTCTAAACTTTCGCCACCACGCTTCGGCATACTCTCCAAGCAGATCCCTCTCGGTGGCAAAAAGACAGTGTCAAATTGGCCAGGCAGTATCCATAAGCCAGAGAAGGTCGCCAGCCACCGACGGGTTGATGGGGGTAGCGACAAAAAAACGGCCATATATAAAAAGGTAACGATCATTCCCCCACAACCTCTGCTTGGAGAGTAGCTCCGGCATACTCTCTGTCACACAGTGTCACTCCTGACGACCTCCCAACGGTAAATTTAAAACATCTGCATCAAACTTTGCATATAGATATGGGACCGAAGTGGCTTTGCATAAGGTCAGAGTGTCAACGCAAGAGCTTTGCTTATCAGATGGTCGGAATAGATTTTAAAACCCGGCACAAACATTGCGTTAACTATCTACGAAAATTCGGGGAAGCATTGAACGATTACCGTTATAAGTATCTCTAACACAGTAACTATCCCCCTAGTATTCTCACGGTTATATATATTCTACATGATTCACACCTATAGTCATTCTATAGATTCATATAATCGAAAGGGTATCATGTGCCATAAAACACCTCAAGTCGTAGACAACTAATGATACATATTTTAAGGAAATTACGTCGTGTAACCCATTGATATACATAATCACCTAGACCTCAGGTTGCTATGTGTCAAGGAACACGATGACCTAGCGCGAAATTGTTGTCATTGGTAACGGCAGGGCACCTTATTACAGACCGGGGTTACTTTCTACGGTTACCCAAGCATTTGGGGGGCAATCAATCTTTGTTAGCCTTCAGAATACGAGACTTTCTACCTGCGTATAGCCACACTCGTTCACCACAGTGTTTAGCACAGGCGGCAAAGATCAAAGAGCTTGTCACGTACGTGGATTTACCCACCTGACAGGTAAAGCGCCCTGTTGACCCGGCTTACCGGGCATAAAGCAATACTTGTCGAGCTAAAGCAGCCGGCTTATTCATACTAGTCCTGCTATAGACACTATGGGAAGGTAAGAGTTAACTACGGGATGTATCCTTAACAGTAAACGTATTTTCATAATGTGAATGCTTTGCAAGTGCTGATCAGGTAAGGCCTGTTTATCAGTAAGGGTGTCGGTAATATATATTGCCTCAAAACATGCATTGAAATAGTTTTAGGGAACGGCATTGCTATGGTACGTTATCAGGATATCTCGTGTTTGGGTGAAGAGTTTGTACGGTTTTCTTATAAACGTAGGTATACAACGTTGTTCAGCTTAGATGTTGGTTAAACTTTGCAGGCATACCATGTAAACAATTTACATCAAAGTTTAGTTTAGTACTATCGCTCATCATGTTGCCTTTTGCTTGTAATGCTGAGTTTGATAGTGCAATATAATGGTCTAACTGAGAGGTGCATTGAAATTATTAGCTTAGGGGTTGGTTAAACTGTGTGAGCATTCTTCAAATACCATGTTAAACAACTTACATCAAAGTTTACCTAAAAGTACTATCATGGCTCATTTTGCTTTATGCTTGTAAGGCTTGTAAGTTTGATTGTGAAATGATCGAACTTAGAGGTGCATTGGAAAGATTTTATTAATTCATTGATAAGTATTCTTTTCACTTTTTAGGTAGCCACCCGGTACCAAGTTTAAGTAAAGAGTTGTTGGCGAAGCAACTAAAAATGGCGCAGGGGAAGGGGGCGGCCCGTCAGGCCTACTTCCTCACAGACCCAAACAAGTACGGTCGCTTCAAGAAGATGTCACGAATCGTCCTGACCCACCCCAACCCTGACGCCACCCCGGTCAGAAACCAGTCCCTGGTCACCAGCGACATCGCCTTGTTCACCAACCTGACCAACATGACGATATGTAACAACACTCTGACCGGGAAGTCGCTGAGAAACATCTGTCTCTGCCCTACGCTGTCCACGGTTACTGTCAATAACTGCGCGGTGCCGTATCTACCGGGACAGATGGCCAAACTAGAACGGTTGGAACATCTCGACGTGAGTTTCAACGAAATCACGTTCATACCGGACGCCGTTTGCAAACTTCCCAAGCTGAAGACCCTCAAGGCGCGCGGGAACAGGGTAACCACCTTAAAGAACATCAAGTCTCTCAGGCATTCCAACATGACCCTCCTGGACTTGAGCGAGAACTTCGTCGAAACCGTCGCCCCAAAAGACAACCAATCACCGACACTGAGAGATCTCGATCTCTCGTCCAATAGACTGCGGTCTTTCTCAATGAAGGCGAGCGATTGGCCCGAGTTAAGAAGTTTGAATTGTTCGGACAACAAGATGACCAGCTTTACTATCATGTTCAGGGTAAGAAAGGCAGGGGAGGGCAAACTTACGAGGTTGTTGCTAAGCAGTAACCGACTCATCAAAATCCCCAACACGGTGTACGACCTGCGCGGGCTCGAGACTCTGGACATTTCGAATAATCTCATCGATCTTGTTCCCGGGAATATCCGGGGCCTGAGCAACCTCTCGTCCCTCGACGTCAGTCGCAACAGACTCAAGGCCTTGACCCTTGACATTTTCTGCATGCCGAACTTGACCTCGCTTGACCTCTCTCACAACATGCTCGTCCGAGCGAACTATGACGCCCAGACCGGCGTAGGTATCCAACTGTCCGCGACTCTGAAATTGTTGGACCTGAGCTACAATAGGTTTCCTGACATACCCACCATCGTCACATTGTTGCGCGGTTTGGAAGAGCTAGATTTGAGCCATAACGAAATCACCAAGTCCGAACTTGACCTTCCAGAGAACGGTCCGGACAAGCGGAAAGAAGGAAGCAAACTCAAGACCCTGAAACTGGGAGGAAACAAACTTCAGAACCTCCCACTCGTGTGGTGGTCCAAACTGTCTCAGCTCACGGAGCTGGATTTGTCCGGGAACGACATCAGCGTGATCCCCCCGGAGGTTGTGAACATATCACAGAACTGCAACGTCAACCTGGCCGGGAACCCCCTTCAAGAGCCTCCGTACAGCGTGTGTCGGTGGGGGTTTCCCGCTATATCGGATTTCTACAAGGATTTGAGTGTAGGAGAGGACACCTTCTGCAGGTAAGACTGGTGGTAATAATGACTGACGGCTAACGTATAGGCTTATTCATCCATCCATCCATCCATCCCTCCAACCCTCCATCCATCCATCCATCCATCTATCCATCAATTCACTGATTTATCCATCCATCCATCCATCCACCCATTCAATGATCCACCCATCCCTCCATCCATCCATCCACCCATTCATTCATCCATCCATCCATCCATCTCTCCCTCCATCCACCCCCACCATCCATCCATCCATCCATCCACCTACCCATCCATCCTTCCATCTACCCATCCGTATCCATCCACCCATCCATCCATCTATCCATCCATCCATCCATCCATCCATCCATCCATCCATCCATCCATTTATCCATCCATCCATCCATCCATCCATCCATCCATCCATCCATCCAAACACCCACCCATCCATCCACCCATCCAACCATCCACCCATCCATCCATCCATCCATCCATCCATCCATCCATCCATCCATCCATCCATCCATCCATCCATCCATCCATCCATCCATCCATCCATCCATCCATCCATCCATTCAATGATTCGTCCTTTCATTGCCTGCGTCCTTCCTTCACTTGAGTACAACAATTTCAAGGTTGCATTGAAGGTTGAGATAACACTAACAAAACGTTTTCTTCTTTCCCCCAGTATGAACGTGCTTGTTGTGGGCGCGCGGGACTCCGGTAAGACCGTGTTAGTACACGCCATCAGGCGGAGTGAGGCGCGGTTCGTGTCCTGGGTACCACAACCCACTGTCGGCGTGGAGGTGAGTACGATTTTTTTTGGCGACGCCTCAGGGAAGGTAGCCTGGGTGCCATCCCCAGTAGTATTCGCCCGTTAGCTTACAACTGGTGGTAGCTAGCGACATTATAGAGCGGGCGAATACTACTGGGGATGGTACCCACTACCCACGCTACAGGGAAGGAGCCGACACTACGATACATTCGAGAGCATCTCAAAGGGTGGTTAGTTCTTGGAGGGCGTATATTTGCAATGCATTTGAAGCTATGTCGTTTCAATGTTATGGGCTTCGATGAACTTACAACTTCTTATGATCAGGTATGGGAAAGTTTCTTAGGCCGTCTTATGGTGTGTTTTTTTTAACATTTCGTGACTAGACATGGTGACAGCATACTCAAGTTATATCAACTTATTTCATGCCGCCACCAACGCAGAGGACGAATACAGGACAAGATAGTACTTGACTTAAGACTATAGATATATACACTTAAGTTAAGTGGGGAAAGTCGTGTAAAATGCCTTTCCCAAGGGCACAAGATCGGTGGCATGTCAGGGCTCGAACCTAGGACCTCTTGGTTCCGAGTCGAACACGCTGCCGCTACGCCACACGACCCCACATGGTCTTATGGTGTCCCTGTTGTCTTCTTTTCAGATCAGCGATTTTGAGCTCCAGATGCCGGACCAGAACGCCGACCAGTCGGAGATGGACTCGTTCCTCGGCCTCCCGTTCTCCAAGTGCCCGTGTGACAAGCTGAACGTCCGCACCTGGGACTTCTCCGGAGACCCGAGCTACAGCGGCTACTACAGGTTTTTATTTTTATATTTTAAGTTTATTTTACTCAGAAGCACAGTGATGAATACAAATAAAAGGACATGGACTAAGTGACTGCGAACTCAAGTTAGGTACAAATTATATTCTCGCAGCCACTTTTACAATGGAAAAAAGGCGTTTACAAGACATTTGAAAAACTATGGATAGCATGAGTCAAACCTCACAAAAGTCACATCCCAGAAGAGAAGGAAAGCATAGCAGGGCACATACAACTAGAAGCGTTTTGTTTCTGTGATGTATTTTTGCGCGGCTAACATAATTTCACAGTTTTAACTGTAAAAATGTCATTCGAACAAACCAAACTGCCTACTGCAGGTTCCTCCCGGTGTCCACACGCCTGGTCCTCCTGGTCACTGACCTCAGCAAGTTCGCGCCGGACAACTTCGCCGTCAACGTCGAGTCGTGGTTCACAAACGGTAAGATTCAATTTGGCCTAATCTCCAAGCAGATGTACGATCCGAGTCAGTGTTATAAGCGTTTTAAAGACTTTCCCCCGCCCTCTTTCTAGTAAAAAACGTTCGGCACTAAAAAGACGCACTAAATGCTGTAAATACGGCCTTGGAATACTGAAACTAAGCGACCTACATGTAGATCGAACAAAAAAGCAACTTGTGCTTGGAAATTATCTTTGGCCGACCGTTCAGACAATAGATGTACTAAATAAGTCTTCGAAGACACCATTCACACACCCACAGGTAGCATGAGGTGATGAGAGTACTAATCATATATTTGATTAATAGAGGTTGTTGTCAACAGCGACTCAATGCAACCAACTCATGTACACTCTAGTGTGTAGTTATGTAAAACTCCTGTACATTACCATGTAAGCCATGTTCGATATACATGTATATCATATCAACTTTTTGAAATAGTGTTACTTTTGATACGTAGAACTTATAAGCATTACTGTAGACGTTAGAGTAGATATTAGATAGATATGTAATACTTCTGAAGAGCTTGCCATACATTGTAGCTGTTACAATTGTTGTGCAATAAAATTTAATGTTGATTTTGTCCCCAGTGTCCAGTTTGTTGCGCAGTCCGGTTGTGATCCCCGTGGCGACTCACCTGGACACGATCCCGGAGGAGGACGTCATACAGTCCCGCTGTCGTACCCTGCTCAGACTGCTGATGGAGCTCACACAGAGACGGGCGCTCGAGATACGGACAGGTATTCCTATAGAATCCTTCATCTTCTTCTTCTTCTTCTTCTTCCCAGTACGTGCAAACCTCAATTGGTTGAGGGCTCCAGCACGGTGGGGGTGGGGGTATTGGATGGGGTGGTCGCTCGTACAAGTTTTGTGTGTGTATGTTGTGGTCTGCAGCTCCTCAATTGGCAGGGGCGCCACTCCCTGTCCGCCACCGAAAGCAGGGTGGCGGTGAGTACTCGTAAATGTTGTTCAGAACTACATGATGCATACTTATGTCCTACATACTTATGTCCTACATACTTATGTCCTACATACTTATGTCCTACATACTTATGTCCTACATACTTATGTCCTACATACTTATGTCCTACATACTTATGTCCTACATACTTATGTCCTACATACTTATGTCCTACATACTTATGTCCTACATACTTATGTCCTACATACTTATGTAGGACTTTTATCACAGAATATTAACTAAGGTAATGTCTTCGTTTATCGGCAGCCCTCAGCGAAGCCAAGGTCTCCCTGAACATACACGGAGGCGAGCTGGCGAGGGAGAAAGTTGCGGAGTTGGAGGGGATCCTGAAGACACAGCCGGTCGTGTATTCCAGCGTCTTCTCCGTCAGTGCCATCACTGGCCGCGGGATCGAGTCACTCAAGCAGATCATCCGGAAATGTGCAATGAACCCGAAGATGGTGCCCGAAGTCACCCGAACCTTGCCGAAGTCCTGGCTCACGGTTCGCGACGGCGTCTGGAAGGAGATGATGCCCGTCGTCAACCTGCAGTACTTCAAGGAGTCGCTGTTGTCGCTCGTGCCTTCAGGGATCATCCAATCACAGGTCAAGGTGCTCGCGACGTACTTCAAGGAGACCGGTGACGTCGTATACTTTCCCGACATTCCCGGCCTGGAGGATGACGTCATCCTCCATCCCTCCTGGTTGGTGGAGAAACTCGGCGCCGTGTTACGTCACGACCTGGAGAAGACGCTGTCGTGGCCTCTGGAAGGAAAGAAGGACTGTCTCAGAAAGCAGGGCGTCTCGAAGAAAGACTTCTTCAAGATGCGGCGGGAGATATCAGAGAAAGCATGGCTGGACGCCAGACTTGTGAAGTGTCTGTGGGAAGAACCGCCCGACACCTACCACAGGGTTCTCATGACCATCATCGAACAGTTCAGCCTGGGGTGCAAGGTCGTCTCCATGGAGACGGTCCAGCTGCACGACAGAACGTCGTCCGATGTCCCCGACAAGGCGACGAAAGCTCGGGCGTTCGCGCAGAAGGAGGCGGTGAAGGTGCTGTTCCCGTTCTACCTGTGGAACGAGAGACCCGCGGAGCTGAACCAGGCCTGGCCCAAGAAGTGCCCGCTGACGTCACAGGAAGTGACCGTGACGTACCGGCTACAGGGGTCATCTACAACCGGCACGTTCCGCAGCCTGCTAGTCAGGTACGACGCTATCTACATCTGTTTGGGGGTCATTTAATCTTTTTTACTTAGTCCTTTAAGCCAGTCCCCTGGCCCATATGCGCACAAACAATGAAGATATAAAAATATATAAAAATACAAACAATATACCAGCGCCGTCTAACTTTAAAAACCTACCTTTTAGAAACAAGCTAAATTGTGCAATTTACTAGGATATCGACCCTTTTCCCTTCCTCAGAGTGTAGTACGAGAAATAACGATCTCGTAATGCCTCCAGTCATCATTGCAACCAAGCCCACCGGGTCACCCCAACTCTTCTTGACAAGTGTGTTGGGTTCTTTAAGAATTTAGAGACTGCATTCATTTGCGTTTGATATTGAAGTTAAGTGTGACATTCACCTGCTTGGAGTTGAAAGGTTAACATCTCCCCTTTATTTCCCACAGGTACCACCTGCTCAAGCCCAAGCTGGAGTTCCTGCACATGTGGAGAGAGGGCGCTGTTTTCAAGCGGGAGGCCGACAACAGGGTCTTCACCTTCCTGATGACCGTGGAGTCGGCCAGGGAGACATCCGGGACCCTGACTCTGAGCGTGCGCACTGGGAAGGGTCGGGAGGCCCTGCAGGCGGTGTGGGAGGTCCTGCTGCCGCTGCTCATGGAGGTGGAGAGGCTGTTCGCTCAGCTCACCGGTAGGGGGCGCTTTCATGTCATCTCCAAGTAGATATAGAAGCACTGCCACCTTCCTTGGGGCAATCCTGACTAGTTCTCATTGCACTACAGGACAGGTGTTGCTGCTATAGATACATTCCCAAACGTACAATATTTACATATCTGCACATATACGTGGTTATAAGGGAACTGTACCTACAATGTGACACCTGTGCTGCGCAGTGCAATGTGAACCAGTCAGAATTGCCCTGAGGAAGGTGACAGACGGTCACCGAAACGTCGGCTGTGAACAAAACACTTGGTTATGTAAAAGAGTCTCTTTACTCTCCTCCCTACTTGCCCACATTCTCCGTGCTAAAATACGATGTGCACTATATTCTCATGCAGGAGCGAGAGTGGACCGCTACAGCGCCTGCCCCCGGTGTCGCCAGCCGAGTTTCACCGGTCAGTGGACGCACCCCGAGGCCGCCCGGACATCCGGAGGGACGGTCTGCTCCCACTGCAAGGACAGAGTGGAGCTAGGGTACCTGGTACCTCCCAGAGACGTCACCAGCGTGACCAACCCTGACGGTGGTAGTACCACTGTGGTGGCTGAGCCCGAAGCACCCAAACAACAAAACACTTCCGTCGACGGCAGTTTAGTAGAAACACACTAGAGACAGGATATTGGAATTTCCTTTGTCACAACCAGTAATGTCTCTTATCTTGCTTAGGTGCACGTGACGGTGTCTATCAGACACCTTCCTCGGAGCTTGGAGTTCTGCTTCTCACCGCAGAATGTAGCCGATGTAGGTGGCGCATCTGCGGCGAGAACACAATCACAAACATACCTGAAACATGAAACTATTTTCGGACACACTAGAACCTGGAAGATCGATACACTTGGCTAATTTTCCGTCAAAACCAAGTCTGGCCCCTGTGTTAGACTTGAAGTATCCAAACAACACACGTCAGTAGCTGACGATGTTGATGTTTAATACTGAATACATACAGAGCCTGAAAGGCGCACCTAACTACATGTATCGTTATCGTTGCCGTTGCGATACGAAGCCTGAATTATGTTGCAACTAAACTTGAAGTGCCCAAACCACACACTGTAGTCGACATTAGGAACTTGTGGGGGTGAAACTTTCTCTTCAAGACTTCCTTGCAAACAAATAACTAAGAAAATAGAAACATCACGATGTTTAGTATGTTTGCATTGGGAAGAAAAACCAGCCCTGTCCTTGGTGCTGATTTGTAAGTTTTCTAGAACAGACCTCAGCGACTACCGTGATTTTAAATCGCGTTGGGAAATTAAGCCATTCTCAGAGAAATGTTTAAAGTAAATAACGTTACCCTTGTACATATTTAGTAATTGAACCCATTTGTACATATTATGTACAGTATATGTTGCATAATAAAGCTGTCTTGGCTTGTTATAACCATCTATTTGGTGGTCTATTTCGACTAGACTAAGAAATGCTATTCTTTCTTTTGTAGTGTAGTCATATATATGCATGTATGACTAAAATACGCGTAAGAAATGAACTATGACCCCGAATCAATAGGTGTGAAATCCTGTTGACCTTTGACACAAGGACACACACGTCAACAGACGTTTTTTCATGGTGACAGTCGTCTGGTGCAGGTCATTGACCTTATTTGTTTGGAACTGAAGAAGAAGAAACAGAGCCCAAACAAAATGTTTTCCTTCTGCGAAGGTAAACATAATCTTTCATATAAACACACACAAAACTCTATATATATAGCTACAGAAGCGTAACTTCTGATCTAGTGTAAATTGACATAGCCAGAAAGTACGAGAAGTGATATGTGGGTCCATGCAGACAATACAAATTAATCTGTCTGTCAAATGGCATATATTAAAATGACAGCCATGCGTGGGTGAATTTAACGCATACGAGTAAAGGCGGTGTAACACACGTGGAAGATTACATGCATCTATGCATAGGCCGTAACTAGGGATAAAACTAGAAAGGTGTAACATTTACAAAGCTTATGAATAATAGTTACCTTCGCATATGGTCTGCTCTGTTAATTCTTACTCAAACACATTCATTTATATGGTGACTGGAGTCTAAAATCCCTCCTGCTATAAAATTGCAACATGATGTAACCCAACACTAGTTACTATGGTGACAGACGTCTGGTGCAGGTCATTGACCTTATTTGCTTGAAGAAGAATTCGAAGAAGACACATAGAGCAAAAACAATATTTGCCTTCGGTCAACATAAATATGATAAAATTTTTTTAAATTACAGTATGCTAAAGAAATGCTATATCATATACAGAATATCATGACACTATTATATAAGTATTCACGAATTCATCAAGAAAATTGCGCTCAGTTTACGAAAGCTGTTAACTATTGTACCTGTAGACAATTGACTCCCAACTTTCTACTATTGAGGAACTGGATGCCACCTGAACCTTTACTAATATTTTAGCCTGAAATGGTTGTCGAACAGGTATCATGAGATTTAGTTTAACACAAATTGTATTGAAAATGGAGTTAAAAGAGCATTACGTAACTTGATGATAACGTTATATAATTCTGACGTTCCCGCCCACGCCTTGCTCCATATAAAGTTATGCATTTTTCAAGAAGCATATAGGAAAACGGGTTAAGCCCCCGTCGCTACATACAGTCTGTTGCTTGGCAGAGACCCAGCGGCCTTTCCCCAGCCGTTTTTGAAACAGCCCCCGTTGATTAGTCTCCACCAGACTTCTTTTGCGGGGTGAATAAATCGTAGAAATCGGCCTAAAACGGGTATTAATTGGCCAGAGAATGTAGCCGGCAAGAGAAAAAGAGGAGCTTCTCTTG